CAAACTAAATGTTCATACAAAGTAACGAGAACCTGCATAAATTTTAAGTATTGCATAGATTCAATTTATACATAAAAAAAATAATTAAATAACTTAACTAATTTGTTATTATATATTAGTCCATGTTATCTTACTTGATTTTTTTGACATGGACTCAAACTACGTCGCAAATGGATTGGATTAAGGAAGAGCCTCGCTCGGTGCTAGGTCAAGGGTTATAAGGATTAACACGTGTGTTCCGATAGAACCAGTATTCATGTCTTATTTTTGAAATACATGAGGAAAATTGGTTTGGTGGACTCGGAGCGGGATCCGTTAAGAAAATACACAATTATTACTTCCTTTAGCCTTTACTAGCAAAATGAAGCAATTTAACCTAAATAATCTAAATTATGTACATCAAATTTAATCATCCAAACTTTGATAATGGGACATAATCCTAGTAGTCAAAGGCTATCTTCTTTCATTATAAATATCGAGTCTCACATTTTGTAAGGAGATCAAAATTTTTGAATCAAAGAGCTTTTGACTTCAAAAATTTCAATCTTAAGCGAAAAAAAAAAAAACTAGAATTCTCCCTCTTAAAGCTCTTACACTCACACATCGGATAACACCTAAAGCTCAATCTATTTGGATCTTGACTACCCACTTCTCAATCACATGATTTGTGTCTTACTAGTATTACATGTTTCTCTTCCTATATCTCTAACTATTGATGTTTTTGCTGCTTAATTGGTTGATTATTGTTTTTATAAATCACAATACTAATTTTTGTATTTTGATTGATAAGTCGATCAGTTGTCCGATTAGTTCTCAAGAGTCTTTCCAAGTATAAAAAAACGTATTAAAAATAATAAAAAATATTTTAAAATCTAATTTAATAGTTTAAAATTTTAATTTAAATTGGTTCTTTAACACATACTAACATATTTCGTTTATTTGATCGCAATTTTTCTTTTCCAATTTTATGAAAGGAGGATTAAATCATATAGGTCTTCTGTATAAAAACTCCTGCGTTGAATAGGTAAGTCGTTGTTTATCTTTATTTTTTTTGGTAAAGGAATTAAGGAAGGAGGCCGAAGCCCAATACAAACTAGTAATTGTTATTTAAAAGTCATTCCTGGCCCCTAGCAGAGTTCTGAACTACTCGCTTTATGGAAATTAAAAGCGTTATTAATTTGGGTAAATTGGACTGCAATTTAACCACATTAGAGGTAATTAACCTTCAACTAAACGGCGCTATTGATTCTTAACACATAAAGGGTTTTAAAGGTGTTCTTTTTTCCTACCAAAAAGAGGGTTAATTTCCAAGAATCTATCGCAATATTTGATAGATCGTTGAATTATGATCACGAGGAGACTGTCAGGCGAGAACATGAACTTGTAAAGCTGAAAAACTCAATGTGCAAATTCCGTTTAAAGAGATACAACGATCCCGAAATAATAATAATAATAATAAAAAACTCAAAATGAGGACTGCTAGAGGTCTTCGCCGTTACTTTTGTGTTTTTACCTTCGCTATAGATTAGCGACGCTTGTCATCTTTTTTATTGTTGAAACTTGTAAATACAAGTTCAATGACAACTTTTGTAATATAAATAGCATAAAGGACATTTTAACTGCCTTCTTCTCTTCCTAAATCAAGAAGATTTTTTTTTAAATTTATACACATATTTTTGATAGAATTAATTTATTAAAATTTGAATTCCTAAATTCTTATAAAAGATTACTATTACTAAATTACAATTAGGGCCTTTCCTTCGTCAACAATATTTGAAACATAGACAACAAAAATCTCAAAAATATGTTGTCAGTTGAACTCGACTTGCATTATCTATCACGCGGTGCTTTTGCTAAAGTTCCCTTGTAACCATAGAATTTATGCTGACCCATCAATCTTGGATGGTGCGAGATCTTCGATAAAATGTGTCCAGGCATGAGAAATTAAGAGATGCTTTTTTTTTTTTTTCCCTCTGAAAAGGAGCTACCCTCTTTTACGAGTAAATTATAAATTATTTTTAAAATTTTTTTAAAACAAATTAATTAATTTTTTTATTTCAAACATTATTATTTGGTCATTTAATTATTATCGGTTATATTTAATTTAATATTATTTTTATTTTGTTAATATTTTTTCATCAATTTTTATATTTTATATTTTTTAAAATAAAAAATTATAAAAAATCTAAATTACAACTAAATTTAACCAATATGAAAATAAATAAATAATTTTTAAAACAAGAGATTAATTAATTAATTTCTTAAAATGAGAGAGGCTAATTTACATTTACTCCGTCTTTGACGGGTGCTATTTAACCATAAGCATGCATGTCTGATTAATGTTGATCAGATGATTTGTCTAAAACATATCTATTTGTTGTGTAGTCATTTTCTTGTCTTTTAGTTTAATCAACAATAGATTGAATTTTTCTTCTCAAGTTGCAATAATCTAGAAGCGCCTAAGAATATATATCTAGTAATCAATTACCACACTTCTCTTGAGTCTCTACTAAACAAAAAAATTGAGCCTGAAGATTGGGCAAAAGGGTCTGGGTAATAGTTGATTCAAGATTGGGCAAGAAGATCCTGATGCTGGACGCCATGAGGCAATGAGGCATGAGAGTGAGAGAGAGAATGGACGAAGAAAACTTGGCCTGGGTGGAAAAGGTAATTAAAGTATACACATATGTTAACTATATTACAAAATTACCACTGAACTTGTATTCCCATTTACCAGTTTCAATGTAAGGAGGGGAAAAAAAAAAAAAAAAGACGACACGCGTTGCTAATTTACAGCGAAGGTAATAACACGAAGGCAATGGCGCCTCTAGCAGTCCCAAGGGGGGCAAATAAATAAATAAAATAATAAATTCGTGTTATGAAATAATAAATATTTATCATTATGTTCATCTATCTTTTATATCTTCATTATTCATAATTCTTAATATGATTTAATTTATTGTTCAATATGAGAAATTGAAAAAATGATACAATTGATTATTCATAGTTCATTCTAATTTTCTTTTCAAATTTGAAACCTATAAATAAATTTAATTATTTATTAGTTGGTGTATAAATATTTTATAGAGATTGTAAGAATTATTTAAATTTATTATCTCTTATATTATCTTTATAGTGAAATAATTTCTTTATATTTTTTTCTTCAATCTCTTATTATTTTAATTTCTTTTATAACAATTCAGGCTACCGGCCACAATTTATTCATCCCAAATCAGGCCCAGCCTTTCACCCCCAAAAAATTGAAAAATGGAGGCCCACATTTGATATATATCTTAGATATCATTAGCCTCCCAGATCGTTTTTTCTTTTCTTTTTGCTGAACAGATCCTGTCTTTTAGGTAAATCCCGATCCCCAATTTCGTTTCTGCTGATGCAGAAGTATGATGCATCAAATTGGCCTCCATCGAAAGTTTGTTGGTTTATCTTTGCTTCACCGTTCCGAGTGATTAATTGACATATGTGATATGTGAAAGACTATTAAAATTGAAACTTATTTAAAGTACCAAATTGTATATGTATTATATAGATTTGATTTAATATGTTTCTATATTATTATTTTGATTTATTATATTTTTTAATATAATTTTGACTCAATATGTCTTTAAATTAAGCAAACAACAAATTATTATTAGTTTAAGACACGTAGCATGTTTTTAAGTTGACACTTGTCCAAAATTAATTTAAAACAAAAAATTTTCCATTAAAAGAAAAAAATAAAAAATTAGTAAAAGAAAAATATTTTTTAATTAATTTGTTTATAATTTTTAAAAGAATATATTTCTTTAATTTATTTCTGAAGATTAAAAAAAATTATATAAAAATTATGAATAATAAAAAGATATTTAATTTTTTAGGAAAATTATAAATAAAGGATTTTTTTTCTAGTTTTTTATTTAAATTTTTTCAAGAAATTATAAATTATAAAAAAATTTATTTTTATTACTGAAAAATTATAAATATTTTTATTAAAAAAATTGATTCTTTCACCTAAAAAAATTATGTTTCTAAATTAAAATTTAGATACATGTCAGCTTATAAGCATGCCGTTTTTCCTAAACGTAGAGACGTTTGTTGCTGACTGGTCTCTCATCATATATAAGTTGTAACAAATCGATAGCTTATGTATCCCTACACTTCTATCCTTTTGAGGATGAGCTAATAGCTATCCTTTAATATCTCATGTATTATTACATTCAGCAATACAATAATACGAGTTTATGTTTGCAAATGTAATTCTTTTTATTCAATTACTCGGTATCAGTGTCATCAATGGCTATCAATACTGCTTCTTCTTCCATTTCTATCATTCATGCTTCTGTTATGGAATAACCTTCTTTGAATTCCTAGCCAAGCAATTAGTTCACAGTTAAACTTACTTCCAATAACTATATCACGTGGAAAACACGATTTGAGCCTCTCGTTAATTCTTATAATTTCAAGGGATTTACATATGGTACTCTTCCATGCTCATGCGAAATAATTTAGAAAGGATCAGACTCTCGTGTCATGGGTGCTGGTTTTTTTCTTACAGAAGAAGTAGTCCCTTATGTTATTGGTATCAAAAGCTCTCATCAAGTTTGGCAAGCTCTAGAGAAAGCCTTTGTGGATTCTTCTTTGAGCAAAGGCAACTAAAACTTCTCATTCAACTTTATGAGTTGACATTAGAAGACAAAACAATTGCACAATTTCTCCAAATAGCTAAGTTATTGACTGATGAATCAACAGCCTCAGGAAATCCTCTCTCTCTACCTTTGAATTTAATGCCATTATTTATTTGTCGTTTGGGATCCGATTGCCATAATAATATTGTAGCTCTCTCTGTCCAAGGGAAGCTGGCAACATTTTATGAGCTTAATAATCAGTTCTTAATTGGTGCACGAAATCCCGCTTAATAGTACACGTAATAAGGGCTCTCTGTCCCTAGATGTTTTTCTGGAAGTCCAACTCTCAATTACCTTCCTCCTAACATCAAACCTCATATGGCAACAACAACTCTAGTCGTCATAAATATGGTGGTATTGTGGTAATCAAAATAGTAGCCAGTATTCCAGCGGCTATCAAGGAGGCATAATTTTAGGGGCAGCAACAAGAAGTTAACAGAAGTAGATGGCCTTGTCAAATATGTGAATGTAAATCACTTTGTTGCTAATTGTAGGAGAAGGTATGAGCCTCCTAGATAGGGTCGATCATTTGGATATCGTTCCCTCAGTTCTCCTTCCTTCAATTATGCTCCTTTGCAGTCCAAACCACCTAAGTCAGCCAACTGCAAATTACTGTCATCATGCTTCATCAGCATGGCACCCAGACCCTGCTGCTGCTAGTCACGTTACACGGAACTTAAGAAATCTTAGCCTTGCGAAAGATTATAAATGTACATCTAAGTTAATTGTTGGTAATGAAAATGGTTTGCGTATTGCACACACTAGTTCTAGCACTCTTTCTTCCCAAAATAAACTATTTAGATTGTATGTCCCTCCCATCACTGAACAACTTTTATCTGTTCAGTAATTTGCCAAAGATAACAACTGTTTTTTTTTCTCTCTGAATTTCATCCCTTTCATTTCTTTGTAAAAGATCTGAATACCAGGGGACTGCTTCTACAAGACAACGCTGAGGATAGAATCTACTACAATACAAGGCTGAGGATGGAATCTATAAGTTTAAAAGCACTGTGACGCCCACCAATTCTGCTTCCCAAGCTTTTGTGGGAGTCAAGTTATCTATTTGATGATTTGAAATGCAAGATTGGGCCATTCTTCTACTGTTAAAAGTATTATAATTAAGTCATTTAATTTATAGTGTTCTTCTATTTAGGGGGAAAAAAAGGGCGCACTACCAGCGTTTTGAGAAAGTTCATTCGATTTCATCTAAATAATTTCAATTCATTGGTCTAACAATAATTGATTTTTTTTTTTTTAATTCTTGCCAATTATATTCTTTTATAAAAGTTTTAAATTTTTTTTCAATAAATTTAAATGACATTCATTTTTTGTCATGTGTCAATCAAATTCCGTGGATTTCAATATTTTTCAATTTCATATGATTGAGAGAACTAAAAAAAAAAAAAAATCAAATATTAAGCACTTAAACAGAAAAATAATAAAAAGTTAGACATTCTAATTGTATTTTGTTCCGAATAATCTAAATTAAACTCTTTTTTGTCGCATGTCAATAAAAAATTTCCATGTAACATTTTATCTCGAACAATTAAATGATTGTGGACATTTAAATGAAAAGTTTAGGAGTTTAAATGAAAAGATTCACCGATTGTACATTAAAAAAAAATCAAACAGTCAAATTGCAATTTTCTCTCTTTCTTTTTGTGTTCGCTCCACTTTCTTGCTTACCCATAAACTGCAAATCCAAAGACAAGTGCTGGAGAGAGCAAATTAGAATTGAAATGGTTGCTTGATTCTAACATTGGCCCATCTTAAAATTGTAGATTGGGCTTGCAAAATATTGTATTCTAGTCAAGAGATAACTGAAAGCCAGGTATAATGAACTTTCACTTTAGGCCATTTGGGCTCATAAAAGTTAAAAAACATTTTCTGAAACACAGATACATCAACATGAAGGGGGAAAAAAAGAAAAAAGAAGCGCATGAAGCTCCCTAAGAGGTTTTAGGCTGGATAGTATCCTTTAACAAATCTAAAACAACAGTTTTTTGTTGGGTAAAAAACGTAAAAGTACACATTTTGAATAAGATAGACGATTTATTCCAACGGATTATCTAACTTTAAACAATAACTTCTGCGTCAAAATTGAACCCGTAAGACACTATGTAGAGGTCGCAAACAAAGCAAAAGACAGAAAATATATATAGTAGGAAACACAAATAAAAAACCCCAAGAAACAGCAGAAGAAGAACTAGGACAGCTGCAACAAGAAGAAGATTCAAAATTTACTTGTGAGATTTGCAGCAAACCTATGCTAGCAATAAGAAATTAAATTCAAGAATGGTAGCTTGTGCAAAGATATTTTCTGCTTGGACTGCATAGCCAAATATATAGAATTAATTGTCTATTGAGTGTATACTATAAATTTAGTACATGAATGAATTTAATATAACTTATTAGAATATTAAATATGAAAAACATTGAAGTGAAAAAGAAAATAAAACGGAAGGACCAAAAGGTGCACGTGTGATGTGAAAAAAAGAAGTTTTTTCCTATTTTATTTAGTGGCGGCGAACCACACATAAAAAATAACAAAAGTTCTCTTGCAGATTACTTTTGCCAAGAGGGAGTAATTGGTGAAAAAAAGAGTTTTGTTATTTTTTTAAATAAATTTTGTGACAAAAAAAATCATAGAATTATAGCGTTCAAAATGATGAGACATGTAGATTTTATAAATTTCAAGTTTTTGTGATGGAACTTGTATAACAATCTACGTTTTTGCTTTTTAAATTGACAAAGAAATTAAAGTGATGGAATTGCTATCTTGATTATAGTAGATTATTTTTATATTAATCTCGTATTTTTTTCTTTTATGAATAGAAAGATTTTTTTAATGTAAATTTAGTGTTCTTCTAGTTATACTTTTATCATTTATTTAGTTTATATTTTTAACTATCATGTGGGTTTGATTTGATTATTTTTTTACCAAATTTAATTTTCAATTGAGTGAGTTTAAATTTCCAATATTGTTGAAGAAATCACTGGCTGCGTTGAATGCCCTAGACTGAACTGCAAGCAACCGTTAGACCCTCTCTCAATATTTGAGAAATGGTGCGATCGTCTATCGGTCTATGTGATTTTGTGGTTTTTTAGGGTCTGAAAGCTGCTATTGTCCATACCGTGATTGCTCAGTGTTGTTTTTTAATGAGTGTCGAGATAAACTGAAGAAAATAAATGTCCCAACTGCAAGAAAAAACTTGTGTTTCCTATGCAAGATTCCTTGGCATGCAGCTGGATACCGGTTCAATGAGAGTAGACATCGATCTAAGATAGAAGATATAGGAATGACATTGTGGTTGGTGAATTGAGTGAGGAGAAAAGGGGGAATGGATGTTATAATTGTGCATGGTCCTCTGGTTGAAGGAAGTCACCTCTTGGAAAGACACTTTGATGTTATCAACCAACTGTGGTCCTGTGGAGGCATATGTTCTCAATCTTCTTCATTATAACGCCGAGGAAAAAACAAAAGGATGTGGTTCGCATGGCCTATTCAGGGATACTTTGTGTTTCATGATCAATCACCATTCTTTTTCTCTCTCTCATAACACTTTCTTAACAAAGATGTAAGGAAAGAATAATTTTACGTACTAGATTAATTGGTGGTGATTATTGAATCGATCATGATGTATTGATTGATATATATGTCCACTCATCTATATGTCTTCTGATAAATTTCCTTTGGAAGATCTAATAAAGTTAATGTGAATCCAAGCGAGCATTTAATAGGGCGTACAAGTTTGATTCATTTAAAACGATCGAACAAGGGACAAGGTGGGGACATGAGTTGACTTTCTGTAATTCCATCATACGGGCAGACGTTTCTATTTACTAAATTATTTTGTTGAGGTACATATTTTTCAGGTGCTGGCGTAATAAGCCAGCCATCATCATAAAATGAAACCACCGAAGTCACCATCAAAATAACAAGCCATCGTAGTGGGGAGATCTACCATATCATTGTTACAATTTCTGCAATAAAAGAAGCAGCAGATGTATAAAGCATAATTATTTTCTACTGCATCATATTTATCGTTTAAATTGGCCAATTAAATGAATGAGTCAATATATATTCAAGGAATATGAAGCCTAATGGTCATATTATATTATATCAATTGGTATTCATATTCTTTATTATATCTCTTTTTCGAGAAAGTGAAAATTCTTTTCAAGGCGTGGGTTATTTTTTTCACTAATGGATTCCAATTTTTACTTTCTTTTGATTGCTACGAATTGATTGGCAGCTTGAGACCACAGCAGCCAAAGGAATCTATAAAAAAATATACACAATTTGCATGTGTATATGTATTTCCTTTCATGAGGGTCAAATTATTGTAAATTAAACGTGATTGAAAGCTTGCTTCCGGGCCTTTCATGGAGGGCAAAAGACAAATTAAAATTTGCTTTTCTATTTCTTCATACAGGTGGCCTGGATACCGTCCAAAAAACTAGGCAGCATAGTTTGATCTCTAAGACAGTGACGCATAGCACCAAAACTATACATAAATTGACAGTCAGCGGTTGAATTTAGGATTACTGATATGGGGGCAACAAAAACATAGGATTTCTTCTTCACGAGAAATTGAAAATTCTTTTCAAGACATTGGTTCATTTTTTTTTTCATTTATGACGTGAAAATTAGATTTTTTTTTTTCTAAATTGAATAACAAGAAGGATTATGTTTTCAATCTTCTCAATTACATGAGTTTTACTGTATTGACTGCCTGTATGTTTTGTAAACAGATAACAAAAGTCTAATTAAACGACAACACATAAGAATTAAGTAATACAAGCAAACCCAAACTCTATCTACAAAACAATCTCTTGTTGTAGACTTTACTAATTTTTTTACCAACGCTATATTGTGAGTTGTATAAAATACATAAAATTATTTTTAAGAAATTATTTTATTTTGATGTTTTGTATTGTATTATGAGTCTATCAAAATATATCAAATCAAAACTAAATAAAAATTCATTCAATTTTATATTTTTTTTATCAAAATTTGTATTTGACTAATTATTTTTTATATTTTTATAAATTTTTTATTAAATAAACGTTGTTTACTTATCTCTATCTATATTTTTAGTTAAAAACTTATTTTTTAAATCGTTTTTTTCTAAACATCTTTTTGCCTTAAAAATTTTAATTAAAAAATCAGAGAAAAAAAGCAAGGACCAAATGATCAAAATGAAATAAAAAAGAGGGACCAAAATAAAACTTAAAAATTTACGAGATAGAAAAAATAATATTTTTTAAAAAATAAATTGTAATGTTATGAAAACTTTTATAATAAATGTCTTTAAAAAAATTGAAAACTACAAAAAAAGTCATTACATAGTAAAAGAAATAGTACATATGAGTCTATGTAAATATGACGGACTCTATCCACATTTTTTATTAAATAAATGTTATTTACTTATCTCTATCCGCATTTTTAGTTAAAAACTTATTTTTTAAATTATTTTTTTCTAAACATCTTTTTGCTTTAAAATTTTTAATTAAAAAATCAGAGAAAAAAAGGCAAGGACCAAAGTGATCAAAATGAAATAAAAAGAGGGACCAAAATAAAACTTAAAAATTTACGGACCAAAAAAAAAATATTAAAAAAAAACTAAAGTGTAATGTCATAGAAAATTTCATAATAAATGTTTTTAAAAAGTTTGAAAACTATAAAAAAGCCATTGCATAGTAAAAGAAATAATGCGTATGAGTACTGGATGAATAATATTTCGAATAATGTGATAAATAGTAAACTTATTTTTTTCTTAATTGTCGGCAAACTCTATCTATAAAACAAACTTTTGTTATATAATTTATTGTTGGCATTTATTGTGAAGTTGATTATAGAATTAAATAGTTGAGATTGAGTTCATTCTCAACTTTATATATTATTCATTTTTTATTTAACTATTTAATATAAGATATTTTCTAATACTTCTCTTCACTTACTCATGTTTTTTAAGATTTGTCAAGTGGTTTTGATTTAACTATTTAATATA